CCACTTGCTCCTTGCTGGATGACCTTGGGCAAGCCATAGTTCTGATAAGAGCTGTCCTTGAAAAAGAGCAGTTTCTGTCAAGCGCTCTCTCAGCCCCACCCACCTCACCGGGTGTCTGTTGTGGGGAAGGGAAGGGAAAGGAGTTTGTAAGCCACTCTGAGACACCTTTGGGTAGTGAAGGGCCATGGGGTATAAATCCAATCTCTTCTCTTCTTCTATAAACTTGGGAACAATATGGACCTTTCTGTTTTCTTGGAATTTTTATATGATTTGGGAGTCTCTTGAGATGCAGCCCATTTTTGGAGCTTAACGTATTTGGCTACAGCGGGCCTACCTGGAGTGGCAGGCCGGGAAGTGGCGTAAAGGACGTCCCTCCAGGAGAGCAGTTGGGAAAATGACCAGAACAAGCACTGTCTCTTGGAAATATGACTCTGTGGTGGGCTTTGAGGGCCCTTTTGAAGAATGAGGAAGCAGGGCTGCATTGTCAGCCGTCCGAGACACAACGTAGTCGCCAGCCAGACACATGGCCTCACCAGAACCAGCTTTGGTCAGCAGTGCCAACGAGGCACCGACCTGCCTCAGTCCTTTCCACTGACCTCACGATCAGGGCCCCAGATCTGTGAAGATGCAGAACGGTCCGGAAAGGCATGGCCGCCGCCCCCCCCCGCCCCCCCGCACAGAGAGCAACCAACCAGTGTTCTCTCTAAGCTGAGTTAGTTTGAGCTAGCTCACAGTTTTTTAGTCTCCGGCTCACACATTTTTGTCTTAGCTCCGGAAGGATGGCTTCCAGAGCAAACTCATTGATGCAGGAGCCAAATCGCTCGCTCACCGCTTTAATGCCAGTAGCTCACAAAGTAGAATTTTCGCTCACGAGACTCCACAGCTTAGAGGGAGCACTGATGGGGATATTGATTATAAGCAGTGTTCCCTCTAAGCTGAGTGAGTGTGAGCTAACTCACAGATTTTTAGCCTCTGGCTCATACATTTCTGTCTTAGCTCCGGAAGGATGGCTTCCAGAGCAAACTCATTGATGCAGGAGCCAAATCACTCGCTCACCACTTTAATGCCAGTGGCTCACAAAGTAGAATTTTCGCTCACGAGACTCCACAGCTTAGAGGGAGCACTGCAAGCGACCCCACTGTCCCAAGGGGTCCCTTGGCCCCTCCCCCAGAATCCTGCCCCCCACTTTCTCCCACAGGGAAGCACCGTTCCTTCCGCCCCACAGACAGATGATGTGGGACACTTTCAGGAACTTAGGTCTGAAACTGCACCCTACAGCATCCATGCCAGTTACTGGAAAAGAAAGGCAGTGATACAAATGCTTTGGATGAACCAAGAATCATAGAATGTTAGAGTTGGAAGGGACCTTGCCGGTCATCTAGTCCAACCCCCCCTGCACTCTGCAGGAGCAGAGCCGAAAGATAGCCCTACAACACACCCGAAAGAGGGTCGTCCAGCCTCCGCTTGGAAACGTCCAGCGAAGGAGCCTCCACCACCTCCCGAGACAGACTGTTCCACTGCTCAACCACTCTGACAGTTAGGAAGTCTCTCCTGATATTTAGCCGGTAACGACCCCCTTGTCATTTCCACCCATGAGATCTAGTCTTGCAATCCAGAGCAAGAGAGAATAGATCTGCTCCATCTTCTACATGACAGCCCTTCAAATATCGGAAGACTGCAATCATGTCCCCTCTAAGCCTTCTCTTTCCCAGGCTAAACAGACCCAACTCTTTCTGCCTTTCCTCATAAGACTTGGACTCCAACCCTCTCACCATCCCGGTTGCCCTCTTCTGGACACGCTCCAGCTTGTCAACATCCTTCCTCAAATGGGGTGCCCAAAACTGGACACAGGACTCCAGGTGAGGCCTGACCATAGCAGAATATTGCGGAACAAAGAGGCTTTGTGGTGTGGAGCCCTCCACTCACCAGTGGGAGGAAAGAAATTGGCTTTTAAAATCCCCCCCTCCCCCGGCCGCTAGCAAGAGGAGAAGGCCGCAAATTCACAACCACAAGTTACGCTCACACACAAGGTCTCTGACACCTCAGACTTCAGCTGCCCAGGCACCTTAAAGGACTTCCAAAAGAGAACGGCCTTCAGCCCGGGCACAGAAGGGAGGGGTGTGTGTATGTCTGTGTCTGTGCCAGTCTCACCTCTGGCGGGCAGGTGAAGAGGGACCAACCAACCTTTAAACAGGGCCAGTTCCCACCGGAAGGCATCGCCAACAGGCCTCAAAACCCAGGCAGGCCGATGCAGACAGAAGCGAGCCTGAACACAAGCCACCGCTTACCACCTTCAAGGACAACACCCCCCTCCCCGAAAGGGCGCCTGGGAAAGTGGCCCGCCGATGTAGCTGATAAAGGTGGTGCCAGCCGCACTCATTACCTGCCAGCGCCCTCGCAGACGAGGTCTGACGGCGCCAAACAACCTTCCGTGCCAGTTCCCTGTACAGCTGGGAACCTAGATGCAGGTGTGACTGGGGGCCTCCACACCTGCCTTCTCCCAAAACGCCTGCAGCCAAAGCACCCCGATACCCAGCAACTGAGATATCCAGAAGTATCCCCAAGTGGCACAGGTGCTTCCTCCAAGGGAGCGCTCCCTTGCCCGGATCAGGGCAAACTCCTGTTCCCAAATCCCACAGGGCTTCCATTTTGATCTGGATTAAAAAACTCCCCGGCCCCCGTTCTTCGCTGCCTGCAGATGTTTCACTTCCTCCCTGGGTTTTATTGACTTGATTCATATCCCGCCTTCCCCGCAAGCAGAAAAAGTCGACAGAGTGCACCCCAAATCTCTGGCCAGTGTCTCCCAGCAGTTTCGTGGAGACGTTACAGGAGCCCTTCAATAAAACTGAGGTTGGTTACGGTCTGTAAAATAATGAGCGGAGTGCCTCTCGGGCCCTCTAATGCCAGCCCTCGAGGGAGCCCTGCGCCAACACAGCCCTCTCCTCCTCCAAAACCCCACAGTCAGGAAGTCCAGATCAATAACAAAGACCCCTGGGAGGTCCCAAAGGACCAACTCCCCTTTGTCCAACCTTAGTGGGGTGACCAGGGCTAGGCCAGAATCCAGACTGAGACAGAGCGCCGGTCTTACCTGCAAACTCTTTTGTGACCCTTCCTGGAAGGAGCACCCCCCCCCCCAATCGCCTCCGGCCAGAGGTGGCACCAGGTGCCCTCCCCGGCACAGAGCCCAGCGCCTCTGCCTCCTTCTCCCCCCCCCCCCCCCCCCCCCCCCCCCCCCCCCCCGCCCCCCCCCCC